TGCGCCATTTTTAGTTGACGAGAACCTGGTCCAACTGGGTGCTTATTCGTCCAACGATTGTCGTACAGGTGATAGCTTAGTGAATACGTTTGTGAGGTTAAGGGTCTGAACGTCGAATCAGCTGTTGTCGCGCAAGAACAAAAACAGACTTCTGCCCTGTCATTTGAGCTTTCAATCCTGTAACGGCAAAGTATGCCTGGCCATGCACTGTATTCGGAGCACACCTTCGCATTGAGGTCACCTGTGACGTTGTGACGCAACAAAGCGATATCATTTGGCTTTAAGAGTTAATCGTAGAAAGCATTTGTCAGCGTCACTCCACACATTTGTCACGCCATATGTCACAGTCACACTCATCGTCACCTGTTTGACATTCACGCGACAAACCGGGATTCTTTCTGACACCTGTTTCACCGAAATGATCGTTCGACTTATTCTAGGAGAGAAACGGATACCCCCAAAGACACAGCGCAATCCACTGTGGCCTGACCCGCAAAATGACCGTCCATCCTGCTGGTCGCGTGTTCCCTTTCCCGGGAGGTGAGCTTTCGTGACCGCACCGCACTACATCGAGTTTGTACTGAAGGGCCGTACGGTAGGTACTGCCGAGCGTACATTCGTTAGATAGAAAACGAACGTTCTAACAGGCAGTAGGCAGTACGGAACGTGTCCCTTGTGGTGTTGATTATTCGAATCGGGGATTTCTTTGCTTCTAATTGATTGACAGGTGAGTTGTGAGCGAGAGCCTTTCGCTGCGCAATTTATTTCCGTGAAAGTATTAAATTCATCGCCATTCGCTAGTAAACCAACCTGGCAATACAACGCTAATTCGACGATGATAACTGAATAAAACTGAGACAGTTGAAATGATAGAAGTTCAAAAATTGAGTTTAGGTAATGCATGATGTACGTTTCAGTGCATGACAACTGGTTCTTAGAAGAGTAAAGACTAGCTTTCTTTGCAAAATTATACGTACATATGGCAAACCATCAAGCTGATTTCATTATAATAAGTCAAAAGGAGCTTATACAAATTGTCGGGACAAGTAATGGCCCAAAAACTACAGATCTTACAACTATTTACACCCTTAAAATAACATGAAGGATGCTGCACCTATCCGATAGATCCTTGATGGACGATGACGCCATGGATTATCACACTTTAGATGGGCTTTTACATTTTTTGCGGCTATGATAACTGTTGAATGGCTGATAAAGAGAACCGTATAGAAGCCTCAAGAGTTGCTTTGATGATGAAACATTGAACGCGATCATGTTTCGTAGTTTTCATGATTGTCTCGGACCATTACTGTTGTTCTTTGTTGCGTTTTTGTGTAAAGGTAAGACTGCATCATACAGATGGCAGTTGCGTAGTTGAAGTGAATATGTATCCTCTGTTGCCTTTCTTCAAGATATCAGTGCTAGAAAATTACATCACATCACTGGCTCTTTCAGAATAAGAGAAATTCTTAAAAGAAGACAGTGTAGTGGTCTTTAAATGTGCGATGCTACTGATTTGATTAAAAGTATGGCTCATTTTCTTTGGAAAATATACATTGGCTCTGTTTTAAGACTTGTCGCATCTGAATAATTACACAGAAGGTGCAACGGTGACTGGAATAATGCAAATGATGCCTCATTCGAACGATGGATCCAAAAATAACTGACGCTGCGAAAAGGTCGAAGTTCAAAAGCAGCAATGAAGTTGCGTATGCGTACCAAACCCACTAC